AACAAGCTTATTATAAGTGACGTACAAAACCAGAATGGCTCCTCTACACAATTATCCAAATCTCTGAAATCTGCAGGATAGGTAGAAGCCCTATGTCTTAAGATAACTTCAAAACATCAAAGGATATCAGATCTTGTCTCCAAATTCGTACTTCAAAATAGCTACTTCCGCGTGACTGATAAGTGTTGCTGCGAATTGTCACCAATAAGAGCGCCCTCAATTGGCACGAGTCAGAAAGTAAGCAAACCTCCCGTAAAATATTAGTATCGCAACAACGGTCAAAACACAAATTCACAAACCCAGCGGCTATTCTTATGCAGTCGCGAGATGCAATCGAATTTGCACCAGTCGCGAAACCTATACAGGCCAAGACGCGGCCTTTAAATTTGTGCAATCGTTGTCTTCAGAGGTCGTCAAGATCAACGAAACATTTGCCGATCCAAAGCCCCTAGCCTGGTTGCACAAGTTGCAGAAAATCTACGAGAAAAGCAACATTTGCTGGATTTGCGAAAGTCACATTAGCAAAACCAAAGAATCACAATTTTCATGCCAAATCACGGACGAGCCAAAACTAAAAGCGAAAAGGCCGCTTTTAGTTCTTTAAACGAACGCGGTTTTAGAGACGATATTTGTATGAGTTGCGAAAAGCCCGTTCATAAATTTCGAAAAGTTCGCGACCACTGCCACATCACGGGCAAATATAGAGGGCCTGCACATGCCCACTGCAAGCTAAAACTAGGAGTCGTGCCTAGTCAAACGCCCGTTCCGGTGATTCTGCACAACTTAGAAAAATACGACGCTCATTTAATTATGCAGGGCGCTCAAGCATTTGACGGTAGTAAAATCAACGTACTTGCCAAAAGCACTGAAAATTACATTTCGTTTAGCATCAACTCAGGTTTTTAGACTCGTTTCGTTTCGTGGTTGCTTTGTTAGATCGATTAGTTAAAAACTGTTCTTCGGAAGATTTCAAATCCACGAAAGATTTCCAAATAACACGGACCTGCTGCTAGTGTGGAAGGGAGATTTGAATGTTTTTTACATGACACATTTTCTTTTACAAGCTTCCTTAGTTTAGTCAGCAACTTGTCTGGTACCCTGTATCACCTTATAGTTTAGCTTTGCTCATCGAGCTTCCTGCAGTTAATTGTTCAGACTGGTGCGTGCTTCTGAAGAGTGAGCATTACCACACACAGCTCTCTTCAGCTTTCCCACATTTGCACTTTTCTGCTCTTGTCACCAGTTGCAGCTGGGGTTTGTGCTTGATTGGTCACTCGAGTAATCCACTTGTGGCACTGTGTTGGGTTGTTATCACATTTCTATTTTTTTTTTCATTTTTTTAACTTTGTCCTGACCTTGCAAATAAATCGCGACCCAGTCTTCCTGAACCAGCCTATTCGGATCTTGTTACTTTCCCAAAGTCTTGTGTATTAAGTTAGCGGGGCAAATTCCCAGGTTACACTAGAAAAGGGAATTTACCCTTAGGAATATATGGACTCTTTTGATAGATTTAAAAACATGCAACTGCTTCTTCGAGCTATCTTTCACAGCTCGTACGTTGAGGCAGCAGTCTGTTACAGAGGAAGAATATGCAAGGGCCCAAAACGTATGGAAAACGTTCGGCTGTAGAAATCTCGGAGACTACCATGATTTATACGTCGAGGCGGACGTATTGTCACGGTTACTAGCGGGCGTATTTGAAAACTTTCGCCAAGTCTGTAAAAGAATTACGGCTTAGACCCGACCAACTATTATACGTCTCCGGGCCTGTCGTGGAATGCGCTTTTAACAATACCATTTGATTGGCATGCTTCGTCACGCCCTCCATATTGGGGGGAGTGGCCCTTTGCATGTCCAACACCCTTCCCACGTGGTTGCTTGACCAGACCACGTTCGCCATCATTTTATCATTTAAATCAATAAAGTGTGTTGAGGAATATTTTTGTGTATGCGTTGCCAACCTAAGAAAAGGCTGCCTTCATGAATAGGGACAGAGCTTGATTTCCCTCTGTATACTTAAAAAGTAGCTGCTGGTAACTTCTCAAAATGGGTTGGTACTGTATTATTTATTGGATAAATCATCGGTAAACATCCATTAGAATAAGCTCTGAATACTCTCAAGCATATTGTGAAACGCTCGAAAACCTACTGATAATAAAGCTTACTTGTCTAAATCAAACAATTTACTGACATTTTTCTGTTAAAATGTTATTTTCTTGTTGATGTATATTTTTCTATTTTCATATTCAATGGTGATGTGAATTAAATTTAATTATGATTCCCATGCTGACCTTTTCTATTCACGGTTTTTTGTTTGTTGGTTGGTTGG